CACCAACAAAAACAAAAGGACGAAAAGAAGAAGAAAAAGAAAAAGCATAAGAAGAGTACAAGTTCTGATAGTGAGGGAGAAGACAGAAAGAAACAAGAAAAATTGAAAAAGGTATGCATAAAACCGCTGTCACCTGTATTATCCTCAAATCCTCTTAAAGTGTACAGACTATCTGGCATACCAAGTTCCAACATGAGAATAGAGGCTTATTTCTCTCAAATCCCATGCTGGAACTTCTTTCCTATCAGCTATCTTTCCAGCAACAGATCTTCATAAATTCATATTTATTTTCACAAACCCATATTGAATTGAAAGGAGAGAAATTGTGTTTTCCAATCAGAACACATTGGCATAATAAACCAAATTCTGGTTTTCTTGGATTTAAGGGAGAATTAGAGATTCCTGCCCTGTCTTGTGATACCACTGTGAAATTATATTCTCAGTCTATAGAATAGTAAACCGTATTCTCACAACTATATGGGAACAAGTTCCTGTTGATTATTGAAAAAGTCAGTGGATGCTGAAGCTCTTATATTTAGCATTAATTATTAGTAGTCTGTGAAATTTGAATAAATTTGCAGTGTGATATCATTTATACAACTATTAGCTTAGACAAACATAATGTGTTCTGACCAAGGCTTCCTGAGACAGTAACAATCACATGCTATTTCCAAAAACCTTTTTTTAATATTTCAATAGCTGTGAATTATATGCATTCACAGCCCATAATGAGTCCCAGTTTATGAATAGTCCCAACAGAAGTCTGCCACAGTCTTTCGGAATAAGGCTGATAAGCACTCACCTTTATCTCCCTTGAAACGCTGACAATGACTAAATTGCCAATTAGCTGTACAAGGCCAAACAGCACAAAGTCAACACAGAGCTTCAGAACGAACAAAGTTGCTTCCTGCAAAAGCTCATGTCCCTTTGCTCCTCCTTTATGTCTTATGGGAGGGGCCAGTCATCTCCAAACCTTACTCCTGAGTCGCCCCTTTTGTCTTTACTGTTCTTGCCTTCTGGCAGCTCTGTGCAAGTGCGCACTGGGAACAGGCTCCCCTTGTTCCTCTGCCTTGCTGATGTCAGATTCTGGAGGCTCCGGAGTCAGCACATAACTCTCAGATAGCTCTGGCCCCATCTCTGTCGGACGCAGATCCCTCATCCACACCCTCTCCAGATTCTAGGAACTGGCCCATGTTCCTCCCCACTGTCCGACTCTGCTGCCAGCTCTGCAGGCCGCTGGCAGACCACAACATGTGTCGCTTCTGTGTTCATAGTGAGATGATTTTTATTCTGTTCTGATATATACTATAACTCTTGGAAGATTTTATATTGGCCATTTGCTGGAATCCTTTGGATCAAATCTGACTTATTACGTGACCTATGTGATCTATTACGGATTGCAGCTTTTTCCAGCTTTCTCATTACTTTCCTGAGTATCTTAGCAGCTTTACTCTTTGAATTGTATTGAGCATTACCATTTGCTTACTAGATAGTTGTAGTTCCAGGGACAACTGTAACACAGCGGTGAATTTGTATTTTCAGGCACTGAATGCAGAAGAAGCCCGTCTCCTTCATGTGAAAGAAATCATGCAATTAGATGAGAGAAAGAGACCATATAATAGCATGTATGAAAACCGAGAACCAACAGAGGAGGAAATGGAAGCTTACCAAATGAAGCGCCAGCGACCAGATGACCCCATGGCCTCTTTTCTGGGGCAGTAGTTTTGAGCAAAAGACTTGCAAGCTCATAGGACTTGTATATAGGTGTCTAAACAGATCAATGTTATATGTGTGTCACTTTCCCTAAGCAAGTTGTCAACTGATGTCCTGTTCTTTCGCATCATACTTACCTATGGCCCACCCAGCCTAGAGCTCTCTGAGCAGAAAAAAAGTTTTTTGTTGAGCAGGTTTGCTCAAGTCCTTGTAAATTATAATGCTGAATGAATTTCTGAATTTTAAAAATGCTATATTGATGAGAAGAGTCAGTAAATATTGCAAACATCAAACTGCACACAATTGATAGTCTGTTTCAAAAATACATAATTGTTTACTTCCCTGAATAGATTAAAGCTGACTTTGAGGAAAACTATCTGAATCTTAATAGAATTGCACAATTCTGAAATGGTTTTCAGTTTCTCAGCAGAATTTATTTTAGCATTCCAGCTATTAAATTCTGGTTCTAATATTTCATTTCTAATAGGGTACATTATTCTGTCACAGTTAAAGATTCTATTTTCCTATAGACATCTATGGACTCCTGGGCCTTTTGTTTTATATCAGTCTGCCTGTAACTTGTTGATCATATTGGCCTGGAATTTTAAGGGTTCAAATTCTTATCAATATGGAAATGCTTTAATTCTGATTTTTTAACAAAAATGTTGAGTCTTGTAGTAACAAAGGCTAGTTCATTAATGTAACGTATGCCTGGATTTGACTAATGAGTCGAACTGAGGAGCTCAAATTGGAGGGAGATTTTGCCATGCTGACATGGCAAGTCAGAAGTTAGTGAAATGCAGAATACGGTCCAACATTAATACATAATGCTCAATTGAGAAGTATAATGGATATTTATATTAGTTGTTGGGTAATTGCCAAACTTCCTGGCTTTAGTATTCAATTGTAGAAGAAAAAAGTCATTTTGAAGTAATTCTAAATGAATAGAATCAACTTGGCAATATACATTAGATTAATAATTTCTCCCTGGATAGTGGGACATTCCTACAGGTGCTTATTATTGCTGTTTTTATATGCCTGTCCTTTTGGCCAAAGTTGTTCCTCTGGTTGTAATAGAAGGGCATTGCTGGAAAGTAATTATATACCTTATATACAGATAAGAATGCAGTTGGACCCTCAAAAAGAACATGCAGAAAATAATACAGAATATTTTGACATTGTAATTGTAGCATAGTCAAAAAGAAATCCCATTTTGAAATGTATTATTCCAAAAATGTATATATATTTTACATAAGCTTTTTATTTATTGTTTTCAGTTTTAATAGTAATTCCTGTATTCTTTTATACTAATTATATGTTTAGGTGCAAGTATTGTTTTACGGTGTTGTGCTAATCTTATTAGAAAATTAGACTCTTAGGAAAACTAGATTAATTTTAAAATCTGCAAACTCATACTATCTTGTTTTAAGATTTTATCTACAAAAGGAAAATGTATTTCATAAATTTTAAGTGTTTTTTCATCTGTTCTGAACTGACATTGAAAACCTGATCAAAATAGTAGAAATGTTTTAGTTGCAAGAAAGCCAGCACACCACTAAGACTTGCAATACTTTACCAAGCTTTATACAAGGGAAAAATGGGAAGAATAATAATTTTGCATGGTAACCTTCATGGTAAAGTGGATTTGCACTTTAAAACTGAATTGGATTCTAGAAAAGCTATTTTCTAGATCTGTCCAATTTTTACATATCCAGTGCAATCCAAGAAAGGTTTTTCATTTTCTGTCATATTTGGGGTTTTTTCCTAGTTTAGCTCTCATCCCATGTGTTTCCATATAAACTTTTTTATACCTTTTCTTTATTTTATACTGAAAGCATTGTAATTGCTAACAGCAGGAGAACCTACCCACAGTCTACATCTACTTTTCCTCCTCTAGTGATGTGATAGGAGGCTGATATCCAAAACAGCATGTCACCACCTGTAATTTTCCTAATACAAATCACACAAGTTTATTTACCATATAAATATTGTACTATGTTCTGGCATATTATGTTAATTGTAAAAGGGTAGTGTTAATTTTAAACATCAGCCCAGGTTTAGCCTAAACTAATTCGTAATGCTGTTCTGCTTTGCATCTGTGAACATTTTATTTTAAAGGCTCTAAAATTATACTAATCTAAACAGAGCAGCTAAAGCCTGGCTTGCCTCATACAAATCTAATATAGGCTAAACTAATGAGCATTTTGTTTTGCTATCAGAACATTTTATAAGATCTCTCTTGGGATACTGCACAAACTGTCCCAGATTTCATAAGCGAGAGCCAACACAACATACCATGTTTCAGTAAAGAATATAGCTGTACTATTGCACAGTTTGCCAGAACTGGAACAAAGGGGGCTTAGGCTTGGAAACAGGGCAACTAAAAAATACTGTTGGAAGAATTACCCTTCTGGGTTCAGTTCCAAAAGACACTGAAAACATGGAGGCTGTTTGGAAAGATGGTTTAATGGTGGACAGAACCACATGACTTGGAGCTCCAAAGAAGGACGGGCTGATGCTGGTTTTAAATCCTCTGTTGGGATTTGAATTGGAGCTTGTATTCTGATTGGTTGTCAGACTCCCATGGGGCCCTGCAGGGGCAACTTTGTAGGCTGTCCTGAGTCCCAGGCTTGGTTGAGCCTTGCTGGGTGATGATGTAATGAAAGGGCATCTTTTCTTTTATGTACACTGAGAGTCTATGCACCAAGACAAATTCCTTGTGTGTCCAATCACACTTGTCCAATAAAGAATTATATTCTATTCTAAAACATACTGGGAAGATTAGTAGTATATATACCGTATTTGTCACCCTGAGCATATGCACAATTTTTTCACTATAGTATATCACTGATCTTAAATACAGGCCTGCACCTGTTGAAATTTGGCAAAATTGTTAGCAACAGAGTTAAAATACCTGTGAACTAGATTAAGGCTACCTGCTGACCAGCAATGGGTAATGGTCCTCCACCTTACAGACTTCAAGACGTGGACTAGCCAGAGAATTCTGGGAGTTGAAGTCCACATATCTTAGTTGCTAAGACTGAGAAGCAAGGGTTCAGCCTCATTAGGTAACATGTTGAAGACAAGTAGCTCCTGATCCTTGGAAGCCTTTGCCTGGAACACGAGGAAAAGGGATTTCTCCAAATATTTAGCCACATGTGTGGAGAGTTTTCTTCCCCGTGTCACGTGACACAAGGCAGACGCTCAAACACATTACACAATAATCAAAAAATGCCTCTGGCAAAACTGAGCCAAAAAAAAGCTGCTGGAAGGAACTGGGATGCAAATGCAAGGCAGCCACTTCAGCGAATTGTATTTGAGAAAGCAAGCTTTTCAGATACTTCATTTAAAGGAAGTGCTTTGTGGCAGTGACTCCTGACAAAGGTGGGCAACAAGGTCTGTCTGAAGAACATTTGTTTTTAAGATTCAGCAAATTTCCGACTGGATGTCAGGCGCTGCTTGAAGAAAGCGGTGCTGGTAAGTAGTTTATTTTTAACTTCTTTTAACCGTTTTTTAAGTAGGGCTTTCAGCCAGAGGCTATGCAAAAGTATGGGCAATTTACTGCTAAAGTAAGCATGTCACCTTAAAACGGTTGATTTCTTGAGGTTTGTATGGCACTGACAAGACGTGGGGAGACAAAGTGCAGTGCAAAAATGCTGACTTAAAGTTGCAGTTGTCTCTTGTGCAAAAAAAAAAAAAATAGTGTGCCAAGGAATCGCTGGAATTGTGCAGTCACACATGATCAATGACAAAGAGTGAACTTCTGATGAGTTCAATTTTGAAATTGAAAAAAATGAAAGGGAGGCGGCCACGAGAGTCTTTAATTTGCACATTTCTCTCATTAAACACCACCAATGATTTGTTTTGGATTCTGTGCTCTCATAAAAAGCCCATTTGATTTCAACCGAGAAGCTGTTTTTAAAGAAAGAGAGAAAGAAAGAAACAGAAAGAAAGAAAATCTTTGCTGTTTTTAGGAAAGGGATAAAATTAATCCGGAACTAAAATATTCATTTTAAGTTACTAAATAGTAAAACTAAGAGAACAATTGCCACACACAAAAAAAATAGCCAGAGGGATGTTTGACGTGGCTTTTGTGATACAAATGAAGGGAAGCTTCCTTTCTAATAAGACCCATCTGTTCCCCTCTAGCTGCTAAAAGAAATTTTAAGAGAAGGTTAAAAAAAAATAGCAGATAAATTCACCTTCCATAACTAATCAAACTATATATTCCATGAAATCTATGAATTTATCTTTTCCCATGCCTTCAGCCAATAAATTTGATATGCTTTTCTCTCCATATGCTCACCATTCAACTGGTCAGTCTCCCAGACTTTCTAACTGCTCTTGGGCATATCCTGTCTCTTTCTCCTCCCCTCCCCATCAAGGGAAGAGGGAAGGGTTAAACTGGAGGCTAGTAAAAATACAGTGCCATCCCATTTCCCCCCCTTCTTCCTCTGCAAAAAAAAATAAAAAATGGCATGGTAGAAGTTTGCCCCCAAATTGGTGCCAACCAATCCTGTTAGTAATTTCTAAGATCTATGAAGGAATGTATGCTTACCTGTTCAAATGTGCCTTTCATTTTTTTTCCTACTGCTTTCCACCTTTGAATTTTAGGAAACCAAAACAACATTGTGTATGAGCACTGTCTAAAATTAATACATATTACTACATTCTTCCCAGTAAAAATCACCCCAAAATTTACACATTGTTCATTGGGTAGCTTATGAAACTTTAAAAAACAATGATAATGAAAGAGAATATAAAAATTGATGTCACTAGGTAGTTATATATCACCATAGTTATGTCTGTTCACAAAAAGAGTACTCTGTGCAACCTTAGAGGCCTTTCGCGCATAAGGAAAACAAATTCCATTCCTTACTAGGACTGCTGATGTTACCTAGTTTGAGTAATGAACCATCTGCAAGAAAACAACAAGCTCAGAGAGCACCAAGGACCCTCTCATTTCAACTTTAAGATTCTCCTTTATTGAACGTAAGTCCCAGAGGGAGACTTTAGGCATAGAAGCCAGATAAGTGACTTTGGACCACTCCTTTTCTCTCAGCCCTAGGAAAAAAGCAGGAGCAAATCAGTGCCAAGAAAACTGTGTGGACTTCTCTATATACAGATAGTCCTCGACTTACAACAGTTTACTTAATGACCATTCAAAGTTACAATAGCACTAAAAAAAGGTGATTTATGACTATTTTTCACACTTATGACCATGGCAGTGTCCCCATGGTCACCTGGTCAAAATTCAGATGCTTGGCAACTGACTCATATTTATGATGATTGCAGTGTCCCGAGGTCATGTGATCAGCTTTTGCAACCTTCTGATAAGCAAAGTCAATGGGTAAACCAGATTCATTTAACAACTGTGTTACTAATTTAACATTTGCAGTGATTCATTTAACAAAGGTGGCAAGAAAGATCCTAAAATGGAGCAAAACTCGCTTAACAAACGTCTCACGTAGTAACATAAATTTTGGGCTCAATTGTGTTCAATTGAGTTGAGGAGGACTACCTCTAGCTGGCAGGAGTCAAAGCTGAGTTGCAGGTACAAATATGTAAGGATGAGATTAGTAACTAGCATTAAGCATGAAAGATTGATTGCCTGAAACATGTATACTATATATTGTATTTCCAAACCAATCAATTCAACAGAATTCTGATTTCCCTTTCTGCAAATCAAAAGGCCCTTTCCTTTCTTGCAGGGAACTGGACCCAATCAAATTTACTCCTGGAACTGAGGGGTTTATTTATTTATTTTTGCTTTCCCCCTCCCACAAGGTATCGGCTCCCACAAGGTTCCAGAGAAGTTCTCCTTTCTGGGAGGGGCCAATATAGAAAATTCTCCAGGTCAGGATTTTGATTTATTGTTTGTGTATCTATTTTAATTATTAAAGCATCAATTAGATTCTTTTCCATGTCATTCTTGTAGCCTTTTATCCGTAAGTTTCCTTTCAATTCAGTTTGTCTTGTTAGATAAAATTTGTTCCTTAGAAACATTCTATCCATAGAGGCAAATATTTCTGTTGTCATTGTTAATAGTAACTTCTGACTCCATTATTCAAAAATATCCTTCAGTGTTTCCAATATTTCAATATTCTGCATCATTTTGTAACTGTTAGTCAAGTTCTTTAACTGAAATCTTTAGTTCTTTCTAGGATTCAATATTTGATCCTATTATTTTTTTACATTATTATCTTGTATTTTATGTTGGACCATTATTTTTCTTATGTTTTTATCTTATTATCTTATGGTTTCTTTTTAAAAAAATCAGAACAAAAACATTTTTCCATATAACATTCCTTATAATTTATACCAAAATCTTATTTCAAATTTATCTGGACCTTGTAATTTTCTAAAATCAGTTTTAATCAATTTTTTGTTGCTCATTTCAAAAAATATTTAAATTCTTAAAGCTTGTTGTTCAAAAAAAAATTTCCTTAAGGATTGAAGGCAAATTCATCTGGTATTTTCAGACTTGTGAATCTAAAGGTTCCTAGTAGCTGAAAAGCAGTTAATAAGTAATTTCTAAATATTATTAGAAAAGAAAGCATTTAGATTTTCTGCTCTTTCAAAGGTGCTGATCACAATTTGTACAAGATGACTATTCCCTCATCATAGAGTGCTCAAAATCTGCCAGAGACCACTACCTCACAGTCTCCTCATGAGGAGAAACTGTCTGAAACACTTTTGGATGATCTTCTATCCTCTCCTTTGTCTGGAGAGGTTCAAAGTGCTGTTCTGATAACCAGTTGTTTGTTCTTGGCCGCACTCATCAGCTACACTTTCTGTGTAACTGCAGTCTTCCATTCTTGCTTCAGAAGTCCATAAAATATTACTTTTGGTACATAGGACGAAGCAGATTTGGGTGGATGAAAGATGATACTTTCTATTCTTGGCTTTGACAAATGGGTGGCCTCAACTCATTCTGGAAAACAGATGTGCAGATCAGTGCAATGTATCAATAGGATTGCTGAGGCCAACTAAAATTTGGTTGATTAATTGGTTAATTAAGTGCCATCAAGTTGGTTTCAATTCTAAGCAACCACACAGATTTCTGTCTCCACCTGGTCCTTAAGATATCCAACAGTGCAGCCATCCAATGTACAGCTGGTTGTCTCCTTTTTTCCTCCTTTTTTCCACCATTCTCCTTTTCCTTTTTTCCACCATTCCCAATATAATAGGTTTCTCTAGAGAACTAGGGCTTTGCATCATGTATCAGAATATAATAATTTGACCTTGAACAGTTGTGCTTTGAGTGAGAACTTTGGGTTGGTTTGTTTAATGAACGGTTTGTTTATTTCTTGACTGTTTATGGCTATTTATGATAATCTACCAAATACTATTTGTGATATGCTACCAAGTTTCAAAGGCATCAATACTCTTCCTATTGTGCTTCTTCAAAGAGATTTCAGAGATTTTCCAAGTAAAGTGAGTGACTGCACTTGTATGGTCACTGATATGAAGGTGATCCATGCTGATAACCTGTCATTCAGATTCTGAAAATAGACCTTCTAGAACAAGAGTGAATCTGGAGCAGAGGACCTGCTGTAGTTGCTCAGCTGATATTATCATCACCAAGATCGCAAATGAGGCATCACAGATCATTTATATTCCAGTGTGTGTGTCAGGAGAAGATGAAAACACTACTTTGAAACTGGAGCAGGAAAGGATGAATTTGGGCTGCCTCGACATGGAGATAGGACAATTGCCATATCAAAAGGACATTGCGTCTAAAAGCAGTTAGCAGGCTTTCTTCATGCCACAATTAACAGGACATCAGTATGAGTTCATATGAACCATACATTTTTTTCTGACTATGTGCTTTGAAATAAAAACAGTAACCTGTTAATGATGTACTGTGTAAGTTGTTCTCCTTTCCCAGCTCAGAGCATATACTTCAGTTATAATTCTTTGGCAGCCATGGAAAAAACAGATGTTTTCTTTCTTATTCTAAGCTCCAGCTAGCAAGTTTTGTGTTTGAAGTCTGGTAGTTTACTAGTGTTTATTTCAACTCTCTAATTGATTCTGAAAGCATCCAAGAGACGTCTGATACTTTAGAACAGATTTTAGGGGGTTGGCATCCTCCTGTACTATTTTTCACTAGTTCAGTGTATACAACATGGAACGGAGGAAAATATTGGAAACTAGTCTAAAACAAAAATCATTTTCAGAGCTCATTTAATCATTCTCTTTCTTTCAGTTTCCCACTCTCATGTTTGGTCTTAATTATACATATTTTTAAATAATGGAATTCTGTACATAAAAATAATTCATAATGCATTTCTCCAGCAAGCAATTTGCAATGAGGAAACACGTCAGAAATTCTGCTTGATCTCCATTGTTCCCTTTTCCTGAAGACATACCAGAGGTGGTATTCAGCCAGTTCTGACAGGTTCTGGAAAACTGGTAGTAGAAATTTTGAGTAATTCTGAGAACCGGTAAATACCTGATTGGCCCCGCCCCCATCTATTCGCTGCCTCCTGAATCCCAGCTGACTGGCTGGGTCTTCTTTTGTTACCCTCCACAGGAGAATGGTGCTGGAAAGCAGGTTAGTAGGATGGGGAAGAAATGGGAATTTTACAGTATCCTTCCCCTGCCATGCCTACCAAGCCACACCATAACCACCAAGCCACACCACACCTACTAAGCCACGCCCACAGAACCGGTAGTAAAAAAAATTGAATACCACCACTGAGACATACAGACTTTTTCTGTCATTCCTAATTCCCCCATTGATTTAAATTTAAATCTTCTCTCTTTGACTTGGAGTCAGAAAATTACACTCACATGCATTCTGTTTTAAAATACGAGATCTCTTTCTCTCTGTCACATGCATACATTTATATATCTGCGTCTCTTTCTCCATGATTTGCACTCTATATTGAATTTCATTGAATTTTATTTTGTTAGATACGGCCCAGTGTTCTAGTCTTTCAAGATCCATCTGGATCTTGAGCCTATCTTCTTGGGTGTTAGCTATTCCTGCCAGCTTTTGTATCATCTGCAAATTTGGTAAGTTCCCCTTCTATTCGCTCATCTAAGTCGTTAATGAAGATATTGAAGGGTACTGGGCCTAAGACGGAACCTTGTGGCACCCCACTGCTTACTTCCCTCCATGTAGACTTAGACCCATTAAGGACTACTTGCTGAGTACAGTTTGTCATCCAATTACAAATCCATCTGATGGTGGTGCTATCTATTCCACCTTTTTCTAGCTTAGTAAAAAGTAGGTTGTGGTCTACTTTGTCGAATGCCTTGCTGAAATCTAAATATACTGTATTATGTTCACAGTATTTTGCTGGTCTATTAATTTAGTCACTACGTTGAAGAATGAAATAAGATTGGTTTGGCATGATCTGTTCTTAGTAAACCCATGCTGACTGCTAGTTATTACTTTACTTGTTTCTAGATGTTGGCAGATCTGTTTTTTTACTATCTTTTCCAGTATCTTCCCGGGTATATGATATTAGGCTGATTGGTCTATAGTTTCCTGGATCTGTTTTTTTTTCCTGCTGCTTCCCTTCCCCATATCTAGTCTGACAACATCATTTCAGGACCTAATAATATTATTTACACCTTCACAAATTTATGTATTTACTTATCTGCCAATATGACACATACTATTAGTTTCTATCAGTGCCCCACTATTTTCTGCATGTATTATTTCATTCATTGGTTTATTAATCTACATCCTTCATTTTTGAAGAGACCACAAAGCATACTTGGATCTCCCCTACTTTTATAACTTCATCATGACACTATGAGTTTAGACACTGAGATAGAATGAAGGGTCCCAGTTCATCCATGAGCTCTGTGGTTGAGAAGGGACTTGAACTTTCCCATAACTGTGGGTACTACATTATGCTGGGGTAGTCTCAGTATACCAGCCAGGTAGGTTAGTCTCATTCTACAAAGGAAAGAAAGAAATTGGTGGAAATCTGAAATAAGTGGGGAAGTATTTCAGCCTTTCAGACGAGCAGACACTGTTATTACCCATTTAAAGAAGGCAACTATAAAAAAAAAAATCAATAAAGAGCTCTTTAAAACTTTCCATTTTGTATCTTGTGGCTTGAAAAAACAGACTTGCTAAAGAAAAATCCCACTTTTTGCTTAAATCAGCTATCCAATAGAGAGAATGAATTTGTATGTTACTACTTAACAATTGCTTATTGATCATAAGAATAATGACCCTTATTAATAACATAATCTACTTCTTTTAATGTCTTCATTCCATGTTAATGCTTATAATTCCATCAGCCGCCGGTGGATCTATGCTTCTAATTCTGGTAACATGGCATGGGTCGGATTATGTGTGCTCTGGTGTTATACTTAAAAGCTGCTTCCAGAATAGATCTGATAGTCCTGAAGCACCAAAAGAGTCCGTGGGTGCGTGTTTTCTGCAGCAGTTTATCAAAACCATCCTTCTGAAAAGATTTTAGGATGCATTCCTACTTCCTCTGAGCCCCAACCTTAAATGTTAATGACGTAACATGTTCCACTCCTGTTAATGCTCCTGCCAGCCCTAGCTGCTTCTTGAAACATGCACCCATCATTGCTTCTGCTTAATTTCTTGCAGGTATCACCATGATCTTCCTTTTTCTGGTTGCCTGGATTGCTCCCTGTATAGTTAATCAATTTTTCAGTAGCTTTGCCAAAGCAGACGTTCAGAAAAATTCCAAGCAAATCATCTGCAGTGTGCTAGGACCACAAGGTCCTCCAGGTGCTCCCGGAGCTCTGGGTGCTCCTGGGAATATAGGAAGGATGGGTTACCCAGGAAAAGATGGACGAGATGGAGAAGATGGACAGAAAGGAGAGCCGGGGGATGAAGGTGAGAGATGGCTTCTTTTTCAAGATACTTTTCTACTTCAGAAGGAATCCAAAAAAGAATGGGGAAATCTAAATCAGCCTCTACAGTACTAAATCCATTTTCTTTCATAAGACCTTTCTACATGGTAGCTCTCTTCAAAATCAAATTAAGGAAGAATGACATTTTTTAAATATATTTGAACAACCAAAGTGTTGGTTATGGCATCTTATTGGAATTTATTATTTCAGAAGTCCATAATCATAACTTACGATAGAGGTGCAAAAAAATGCCATTCAGAGGCTTCATGCGGCCCACCTCTTTTATGGTATCCCAAAACTTCCCAGAGAAGCTGGGGCTGAAACTTTAGATCCTTTGGTGAGTGGATTTTAAATAGCAAAATCTCCCCCCACCCCCGTTTTAGAGCTGTTTAAAGTAGGGGTGCCCAACCACCAGGCTATGGCCCGGAATCAGGCCATGCGAGCAGAGGTCCACTTACACAAGCGGCAGGCGAACATACACACGCGAAGCTCCATTTGCACAAATGAAGCGGACCCATTCACTCTCCTGCCTCCGGTCCACAAAGCCAGAAAGATTGGGAACTGCTGCTTTAAGACAGATATTTTGTTTGTTTGTTTTTTTAAAAAGACCCAAAACTCTTTCCCAAAACAGGTTTTGAACCTCCTCATTTTGGAAACAGTGTGACATATTATGAAAAATGTAATATGGTCCTTCACATGACAGATGTTACATTCACCAATTATAGGTTGCAAGAGTAATTATTGACTTGAATTAGCATGTTAATTAGCATTAACATGCTAATTCAAGCTTTAGCTGGGGTTAACCCTGTTTACAAACCATAGTGGCTTGTTTACATATGAGTTTGCACTTCATATTGAGCACATTGTAGGACCCAGACAATAAAACATGGTCAAATGGTCTATTCTATATCTCCATCAGAAATGAGATGAGTGGTAGGATGGTAAATGGTAAAATGACTCCTTACCTTTAAACAGCAAGTAAAAACAGTCTATCCAGGTATATGTTTGAAGGAAGGAGACAAAATGACCAAAGAAGGCTTTTTGGGTGCTCTGTATTTGCAATTTTAACTGAGCTTTTTATCAGTTGGACATGGTTGGGCAGGCTTTAGATGATTCAGTTCATGTTTTGTAAAACAAAAAATGCAGTGTAAATTAAATGAAACTGAAAGGACACAGGTATTAATACTCCCTCTGGCTCCTAGGCCTGCTCAGGGATGATACAGAGGAGAAGGAATGTGTCTGGAATGATGAGACCAAATTGGGCTGTAATTTAGCTGACTTTGTTTATAAATAGAAATTATCTAACTCTTGGTTGGATGCAGCATAACCTTCCTTCCAACGAGACTCCTAACCATTAACAAAAATCAGGAGCAGCCTTTTTTCAATTTTTTGAACTATCAAATGTTATAATGCATATGTTTTTGTGAGCTATAGTTCACTTTATCAGATGCACAGAGCTGCTGGACTGATAAAGGATTTAAATTGGATTTTTTTTTCATCCTAGTGTTTTTTTTTGTAAGTGCAGGGTCCACTTTTTTCAAATCAACCAAGTGTTGATCCTTTGATTGCAAACAGATATTAACCTACTGGCTTATCATCAGAACTAATGTCATGGGCTAAGAGGGAGTAACCGAACCAAAGTCACTCAGCCAGCTTTCATGCCTGTGGGGCAGGACTAGAACTCATAGTCTCTCAGTTTCTAGCCAAGTGCCTTAACCACCACTTAAACTGCCTCTCAAATGATTCATGAGTTTAATATAGGATTTAAATCGTGATGATGTAGATTGAGCAATCCCTCACTCAATTGTGTTGGCAAAATTGGATTCTTTCCAAAATGGCTACATGTAATCTTTATTAAAAGTGTATACTTTTTAATAAAAAAAATGTTTCTTGGAAAAGATCAGACCCATACACCCACACCCTGATTTTCGCCTATCATAGATTAACATAGTGTCCCTTCCACAAGCTCCTCACTTAGAGAGGGCTTTGAAATCTATTAAGCTTTGTACTATTAGTAGAAAGAGGATATGATTTTCACCAATTACATTCTTCCTCCTAAAAAATATTCTCTAGAAGGCTGACAGAGCTTTCAAAACAATGAGGGTGTGGAAAGCAGAAGAATTGGCAAGAAGCATTTCCCACCCCACCCCGTTTCAGAGAGTGGAAATAGTTGAATGCAATTTCACTTGGGATCCTTCCATTTGCACCAGAACTCTGATCCAACTCCTATTTAGCATACAAATAGGGAATAATAACTGCAAATATGAACAATAATTCAACTGGCAGTTTTAGCATACAGTTACTGCTTCTTCTGTTGTATCTTTCTGTGAGAGATATTCTATTTTTTTTAAAAAAAATATTAAATTTCATTATAAGATAAAAGGAAGAAGCAAAAGTACAGAAAGAAGAAAAAAGTAATGACTTCTGGCTTTGTTTGATGCAATAGATTACAAAAAAAAACAATGTTAGAGATATTGATTCCAATCCCACAGAACAGTATACCAGAATTTTAAAACCATGATTTGTTCATCAAGCTATAAATGGTTTCATTTATACGTTCAGTAATAGTTTAGATATTATGACAAGCCCAGAACAAAACAAACTCTATTGTAACTTTGCAGGAAGCAAGAATCCTTTTTTCTTTCTTTCTTTCAACTACCTATCTAGAAGAGAATATATTTTCTCCACATTTTCTAATATTTATTTTTAGTTATTTATTTTGATTTGTCAATTGCTTACAAGATAATAGGTATAAGTATATACATAGTTATGAATACATGAAATGGGTACATATAAAAAAAATAAAAGAAACAATAGGACAGGGACAGTAGGCACGTTGGTGCGCTTATGCACGCCCCCGACAGACCTCTTAGGAAAGGGGCGAGGCCAATAGTAGACAGTCTAAGGTTAAAGTTTTGGGGGTTTGGGGAAGAAACCACAGAGTCAGGTAGAGTATTCCAGACATTGACCACTCTGTTGCTGAAGTCATATTTCCTGCAATCAAGTTTGGTGCAGTTAACGTTGAGTTTGTATCTATTGTGTGTTCTTGTGTTGTTATGGTTGAAGTTGAAGTATTCATTGACAGATAAGTCATTGCAGTGTATGATTTTATATACCATGCTTAGATCAGACCGAAGACGGCATAATTCAAGGTTTACTAGGTCTAGAATTTCAAGTCTGGTGGCATAAGGTATTCTGCAACGAGTAGAGGAGTGGAGAACTCTTCTTGTGAAATATTTCTGGACTTTCTCAATTGTGCTAATATCAGATACGTAATGTGGGTTCCAGACTGATGAGCTGTATTCGAATATTGGTCTAACAAATGTTTTGTATGGTCTAGTTAGTAGTGTGATATTACCAGAGAAAAAGCTACGTAGGATTAGATTAACAATGCTTAATGCCTTTTTGGCTATGTAGTTACAGTGGGCTCTAGCACTTAGATCATTAGAGATGAGTATTCCAAGGTTCTTGACAGAGTTTGGATCATCAGCAAGGTCTTGACTATTCAGCTTGTATTTTATTTTCTGATATTTTTTGCCAATATGTAAGACAGATCATTTATTTGTTGAGATTTGAAGTTGCCATTTGTTTGACCATTCTGATACATAGTCAAGATCTTTTTGAAGGGTAGCAGTATTGTCTGTGGTATTGAACAGCTTTACATCATCAGCGAAGAGAATGCAGTTGCTCTTAAGATGATCACAGAGGTCATTTATGTAGAGTATGAAGAGAGTTGGTCCTAGAACACTGCCTTGGGGGACACCACTATTGACAGGTACAGAATTTGATAGGACACTCCCAATTTTGACCATTTGTTGTTTGTTTGACAGGAATGCTTCTGTCCAGAGATACCATAAGATTTTAGTTTTAGGAGTAGTTTGTCGTGTACCACTGAATCAAAGGCTTTACAGAAGTCTATGTAGATTGCATCTATTGTTTTGCCCTGATTGAGTTGTGTAGTCCATATGTTTTTGCAGTGTAAGAGTTGCAGATTGCAGGATAATAGAATGAACAGGACAAAAAAGATGGGGATACGGTTCCCATCAAATAATGCAGTTCAACACCTCCCAGCAGACAGCCCTTTTTTAATATTTCCTGGGTTGCAAAACCAATTTTGACCCTCTGGTTGCTATGTCCAAAAGATCCATGAATCCCTTGTATGATTACTCATTGAGGTTGTGTTTTCTCGTAGGTACCCAAGGCAGGATGGGAAATCCAGGAAAGTCAGGACCAAAAGGGAAACCAGGAGCCATTGGCAAAGCTGGTCTCCGTGGTCTAAAAGGCTCCAAGGGCCCCACTGGAAAAAGCGGGCAGCCTGGAAAGAAAGGGCCCCGAGGAGCCCAAGGAGACCTTGGAATGTCTGGCCCTTGCAAATGCAATGTCAAGAAAGCCAAATCAGCTTTCTCTGTTGCTGTGACAAACAGTTACCCAAAAGAAAGGCTGCCCATCAAATTTGACAGGATCCTCATGAATGAAGGTGGAAATTACAACGCTTCCAGTGGGAAATTTATATGCAACATCCCCGGCGTCTATTATTTCACTTATGATATCACACTGGCCAATAAACATTTGGCTATTGGGCTGGTGTGTAATGGTCAGTACAAGATAAAGACTTTTGATGCCAATACCGGGAATCATGACATTGCTTCTGGATCAACAATCCTTTCCCTAAAGCAGAAGGATGAGGTGTGGCTGCAGATATTTTACTCAGAACAAAATGGGCTGTTCTATGATCCCTACTGGACAGATAGCATTTTTACTGGCTTTCTGATATACGCTGATCAGGGTTATCTCAATGATCTATAAAGGGCACTGCCAACCTCAACCTACCTAATGGGAGACAAGAACCATGGAAAATTATGTACATTTATCTTAGAAAAAGTCCTTCAGCCACAAAAGCAGACCTAAGGGGACAATGGCCTAAAGCTCTCCAAATATTTATATAATTAATCTAAACCATGGAGTTGCTTTGCCTCAGATGGTACAGACACTTTATTCTTTTCCATAGACTTGCATTCACGAATGGTTTCCAAATGAGAGGGAAGGGGAGAAAAAAAGATAACATTTTATTGGTGGATATGACTCCATGATCTGGTTGGAAAGTTGTCTGTGATTCTCAGTATACAAGATTCTTATTATCGAGTTTCTTTTTCTGCAAAACACAAAAGAAAGAAATCTTAGCCTATACCAACCAATACTGATGCTCCTTCTCTAAAGCAGAAAAAGATACATATCCTGTAATGTAAAGGATAGTCAGAAATTACTTAAACTAGAGCTGAATTTATCTGCCTACTTCCCGATTGCCTGCATAGGAGGACAATTGCCATTGAGCATTACAGAAATGTGCCTTTCAACAAGGCTATCTTTAATCAGGGAACCCATAGATGCATCTGGAGTTCTTCTGCTGGTAAAGCATGTGTTCCATTGCTAGAAGTTATGGCCCCTCCCCTAAATTCAGGCTACCACTACAGCAAGCCTCTCTTTATCACTCTACATGTTTTTAATAACACCAAAAGGATCTGATGTGTAAAAAAAATAGTGCTACTGGTACTATTAAAAAGTTACAAATATTCACAAGTATTTCATTTTTCCCTGAAAAAATCTCCTTTATTCTGTGAGCAAATACAAATGGTATTTGATTGTCAAACCAAATAAATAACTCAGTAGAGCATTAGCTTTAAAATGTTTAAAAAATCAAATGAGCCATTGATTATGCTACACATGACCCTGTTTCATTAGGAATTGATTATATGTTGGTTAGCAAAGCATTATAGGGTGGGATGACTGGAATCCTGTAATAATGGCTTAATCTAAAGCTCTCCTGAGAAGAGGATGCTGGATTTACACTCCATCATTGCCTGTTCATGATGCCAGTATCCACAGGCAAAATAGAATTAATGGGACGATTTTATACTGCAATAGCATGTTAGGGCTGCAGACTACAATAGTACAATAGCAAGAAAGTTAAAATAGGCAAAGGTTACATTAATCTAGATCTGGGATGTCAAACTCAAGGCCCCCAGGCTGGATCTTGCCCATGGGGTGCTTAGATCTGGCCCACAGGGTCGCCCTGGAAACAGCAAAGGCACATGGCCCTCCTGGGGTCTGTTTTCTCTAGCAGAGTGCCAGTTAAAAAAAAAACTACCAGCAAAAGTGGTATTTGATCACACAAGTGACATCGAGCTGGCCACACCCACCCTGGCCCACCAAGGTCAAACACAACCCTGATGCGGCTCTCAATGAAATCGAGTTTGACAGCCCTGATCTAAATTTTTCTGATTTTTAAAAGATTGAATCTCTTAATCTCCCTATTTTCTTTCTAAGCATTGAGAATTTATTGTAAATTTGCCTTAAACCATTTCATTTGGAAATACCCAAAGCTAAGGGATAGCCAAATAATTGCAATTGCTCTTGAGTTGGATTGACCAGGAAAAAGAGTTTGTTGCTTAACAGCTCAATAACAAAGCATTGTTTTGAAAGCTGTAGAAGACCATATCCCCAGATGGTTTCTTATAACACACAATTTTTGTTTGCTCGTGTTTTTCTTTAAAAGTCATTCTTGTTAGTAGATATTCTCATGAGTGGCAGTATGGAAGCAATGTACATGAAAAGCCAGTATTTTACAGTACTTCAGGATCAGATCGAGACTAGACTAATTTCAAGATGTAATATGTTTTGGGAGCTTTCAGCTCTTTCCTCTCCTCACTTTTGCTGTCCTGCCAGGTACCCAGAGGATGTGCCTGAGTGTCTAGGACATAGTCATCTCCTCCCATCTTTCATTCACAAGGAAGGGAAGAGAATCTTCTGCTAGTCTAAGACCAGAGTTGTCCTGAAACAGCAGAAAATCTCAGCAAGAGCTGATGGCTTAACTTGGCTAATTCATCATGTTTTCTATGGCTTCTCAGCTGCAGGTTTTTCATTCATGCCTTAAGTTATGCTTCAGACATTAGATAATGATACATGTGGCCAGATTTCTAAGCAGGGGTTTCTGATTTATCAAAACCAGAGGCTTCACTGGAATTTTCAATAAACTAAGATGATTCAGGCAGTTATAACCATGTTGTGAAGCCCCTCATAAATGTTTTGGAAAATATAATGAATCAAACTCGAATAATGAAGCAAACTCGAAGCATTTCATATTTTCCAGAGATCTCTCTGACCACAATTCTTTAAATAAATCAGCAGACTAATTTAAATTAGGATCTGGTAATACCATGCTGTGGACTACAGGATAAAAACTGCTGTTATAACAAGGAATACTATGTGTTATGATAAAAATTAAAAGAATATTTGAATTAAAAGCTATTGAAAAGCCATTTATAAAGTTGTCTGAGAGGAAGTACAGGCTACAATAATGTATTTTCCTGTTAATAGCACAACTGGTTTTATGTATTTCCCGTGCTATGGAAAATGTTTAAATCACTTAAAGCCAAAAGTAGCTTTTCAGATAGCATTTAACACCAACGTAATAATTGAATTCAAAATCATGGGAACAGAACACCTAACAAATAGAACATTCAAATTTCAGATATTTGAATAAAAATCACCCATATCACTGCAAAGTAAACCTTGTCAGCACAACTTGCATCCTCAGAGATGAAGCAACATTTAAGAAGCCTGGGACAAGATATTCAGGTACCATAATATGCTTTGAAATCATGTTTCAAAATTGCCAGACTGTAGCTTCCTAGTAGATCATCGTATAGTCATTTACGGGCCTTCCAGACTTCTAATCTCTGTCTCATTACAAAATGTGGTGTTATGTGGTTTGTATCTCTAGGGTGAATATCTCCAATGTATGGGCTCTGCTGCTATCTAAATATTGCATTAATTTAACAGTATTAAGTATCATTTTAATAACAAGCAAGAACTAACTTCAAAGTACCTAGTCCAACATAATTAATTCAGTTTGTTCAAAGATGCCTTAAGGCCTATATTGAGTGCAGGTAGTAGGGAGATTTAAGTGGATTCTAAGTCTTAGCCTTGATTTTTGACAAAATATTGGGATCTCCATGTTCTGATTTACTGGAAACCATACACAGTTGATCTCTACAGCTCTTCTCAGTAGTCTATTTTTCCATTAATGGGAATGCTTGCCTCACCCTTTCTCCTGGATCCAACTAGACATTATTCTCTTCTCCTTTCTCTCGCCTTCCCCTTCCTTCAGAACTTGTTCCTGAGTCATGTCTGTTCCTGTATGCATTGCTTAAACATATCTCTGCCTTTCCCCATCCCATGGATACAGTTATAAGAAAAAGCACTTAACTGCAAAATTATCAGAATGCTAGCATTTTACCTTCCCACTCAAATGGATAGAGGAATATTGTTAGATGGCTGGGTAACCTTTACAATCTTTTTTCCTCTTCAAGCATCTCCTGTTTTTGCATAGGACCAGAAACATGCACACCAATGCTGTATTTGTACCAAAAGACATTATGGGTGCAGGCTGTAGGAATTTGTTTTATTTCCCTTTTCTGTGGAGTTAGATTTTGTTTCTATATGTGGCAGTAACTCTGGGGTGGGATAAAGTGCTGCGGAAGTGCCCAGATGAAGTTAATCAGAAGGTAAAAAACAATAAACTATAGTTGGTAACTTTGAGCCTTTGCTATAGTTGGTAACTTTGCTAAAACAATCAAAATGTCATGTAGCTAAGGACAATGTTCCAGATTCCACAGTTTTCCTCAGGCTGAATTATTGATCAAAACCAAGGAGCAGGAGAAAAGTAACAGAAAAATTGTAAAGAGGAAAATTATTTTCTAACATAGGAAGTTGGGACCTGTGTGATAAATGATGCAGAGATCTGCGAGGAAAATGTCTGATGGATCTCACATCCTTGCATGTATAAAAGATAGAATTCTAAATCCAGGAACGCTTTGATCACTTGTGTCTGCTCTGTGGACACTGGAATCCAAGCAGATAACTGACAGAAGTGAAATTTCCCTATGGCTTTGCAATTTTTTATAATAAAATATTGCTAGATGTGATTTCCTTACTGAAGAAATACATCGATATGTTCTTGCTTCCTTGCTTCAGCTGACCTTAAAGTCTGTTGTCAGGCAGAAGATGTTTATGTATCTCAGTGCACCAAAAGCAGGAAAAAAAACAAAAAATCCTCCCAAGTAAATAATGCATATGTCCACCCAAAGTAATTATATAGTTGGAGGAGGATGATAGTGGGAAAAGGTACAATTTGTGATTTCAGCTCAAAACTGTCTTCTTTAAAAGATGTGCCATTTCGTTCAGACACAAAATAAAAATATATTTTGGTAGATTTTTATATGTACTGATGTTTTATCCTGATAGTTCTTACAAATCTGAAGTGAAATTGCTTGGTAAGGAAGGAAAAGAAAAGCCAGAAATTCAGCAAAGTATTGGCCAAATAACCTACTACCATTCTGAAGCTTCACAACAGTGCTTACTGCACAAGGCCAGTCAGAAGCTTAACAGATAATGCCTGCCCTCTTTACTTTCCTTTGTGCAAAATGCTGACCCAGAAATACGATTTTGAAGTAATTAAAGCTGCTTTCAAAACAGAACTAAAGGAGTGTTTTAGCCCATTTTCTTAATGAACACTTGCAAATAACTGAAACATCAGATGGTTTTCTATTTGCATGTCTAAATTCTGGAAATTTATATCTTCTGTAAACATAAGAAGTCTGTTGCCCCTCTCATATTTCCTGGGGCTCTTTGAAGTATGCCATTAATGATGCATTCCAGATGAATCAAGATTGAAGCAGGAGAATGTTGTCCCACATATACTAGAGGTGGCATACTAACTTTTATAATGGAAGGATTCCCGTACATATACATGATAAGAGAGTGACTACGATACAACTGCCTCTTTAAAATTGTCTGATGTTTTTCAAGCTTTTGGCTACTTCAGTACGTCCTTTTGGAGACTGCAGAATTCTAGAACAAGTATTTAAATTCAACATAAGAAACTCTGTATCCGTCAGTATTAATATTCTTATACAAAGTGCTATGACCGCAGGAAAAGAGGTGTTTCATATTTTCTAATTTGATGTGAGCTCTATTTTCTTCCTACAATCTTTCAAGCATATTGAGAAGATTTCACTGTTACTTGTAAGCATATGAACAAAAATAAGCATATCTTGGCTAGACATCTGTGCTATTGGCATGCAAGTTGGGTTACCTTTAAGCAACCTAGAAGGCTTCTCCTGGGTATTCCAAGATTCTGTTGTTTTGACAGTTGGGCAGTTGTGAGAAGTTCTCAAGAGATCAACTTAGGAGTTTGCCTTTTTTACTGATCTCACATGTTTGGTAAATATTTCAGTTGTTTTCTCTCACATACACACTCTATTCTTTTAAAAGTCATAGGCAATGCACTTTTATGTTGCTTAGTAGTAGTATGTATATATTAAGTACTAATGTTTACATTTGGTGAGTTGCTAAGACTAGCTATAATCTCTTCTGTACATTGTTATGAATCAACCTTACAAATTTACAAGAGAAGCTGTGT